GAAGAAAAAACGATAACTTGTAATAATAAAAATATGGGGCGATAGACACAGCATCCCATGCACACACTCATTCGCTGGTCAGCTGTCTTGGGGTGGGCCGGTCCGGTCGAGGCGCTCTGTTACTCCCGCGCTGCCCAGGACGCCGCCGTCCCCCCGCGCGCGCGCGTGCCCGTGTCGGCCTGTGTGAGAGAGAGTGCGTTGGTGTGCGTCGGTGCCGGTGTGTGTGTGTGACCTAAAGGATACTCCCATGAAGGCGTGGCCCGAGACGAGGCAGTCGTCGATGAAGCGCCCCCTGCGGCCCCGGGGCTGCAACAAGTACTCGACCAGCATGGGCTTCTTCCTCAACAAGGGTGAGTCGCGCCGCAGCACCGGGCAGCACCTGGCAGCACCTGGCATCACCTGGCAGCAGCACCTGGCAGCAGCACCGCCCGCTGCTGCAGAACCACCTCGCTGAGCCCCTCCTCCCACCCCCACCCCTTTACCACATCCACCCTCTGACGGCAAAAGTGCGGCGTTCTGCGACACGAGGCAACAGCACCTTTTTTTTTCTGACTCGTCAGTAGTTTTGGCGCAGACGACCGTGCGCTTCGCAAGGCTTCGCCCTGCGTTGAAGCCACCAACCTCGCGCTCGCCGGGGCGGCAGGCGCGGTTTTAGATCCGTCCTCCTGCAGGAGGGTACGGGCGGGGTGGGGGTGCTGTGTGTTGGCTAAAGTTCAGGGCTTTTGCACCGCGCATTGCCTACTTAAGGCACAAGGCTACATTCTAGGGGTCGCGGAGGAAGGGGGAGGGACAAATGTCGCTGTCGGCCCCTTGACATGACCATTATCTGGTCACGCTCCTATGTTGAATCATAGAGACCAAAAATGAGCCGCAGGGAACGTGTTAAAACTGCGCGTCTCTGGGCGGTAGGGGGAGGGGGCGGCGGGGAGGTCACTCGCACCCTCGTCATGTAACTCGCCATGAGCGCCCGGCCTTGCTTGTCTAGATAGCCGCACCGCACCCCCTCGAGGTGCTGCACCCCGTGTCCGGCCGGGGCAGCGCCGGGGCGGGCGACGTGTCAGTGCTAATTACACTAATTGGAGCTGATAGCGGGGCCCTCCCCCCCCCCCCCCAATCCTCGCGCATCTCGCGCGCCGTCGACTTTTCGGGAGGTCAGCCTGGCTGGTGGTGCGCGGGCGGAGGCGAGACGTCACTCCCCACCCGCCGGCGTTATCAAGGGCAAGGCCCACATTTCCCTCAGCAGACGCCTGTCCTCTGCCCCCCCCCCTCCCACCCCCGCAGGCTCCGCGTCCCGATCGACGAATCCGAGATAAATCATGTTCTCTCCCGCGTTGGCATGACAACCCGAGCGATGAGCCAAGCGATGACACCGGCTCACTCTGCTCCCCTCTCCGTCGGGCTGAAGTCGCTCTCACTTGCTCGGCCCGCCGCACGCGCGGACTTGGCGCACTGTTTTATTATAAAAGTTTACAAAGTGTCGCTCTGTGACCCATAAAGAGAACGGTGGCATCGCCCACGACGTTGTGCATTGTAATCACACAGTAATGTTATTGCCTTTTATTTGGATGCTTCCATTTTCTTTTTTGCGATACAAAAGCAATGCTCTGTACACTTTTCCTGGTGCGTGAGTTCGACTGGCGACGGGTTGTGCCGCTCGCTGGTTGGCTGGCCGCGCGGGGCGGCGGCCGCGGGCGGCCAATGGCGGCGAGGCGCGGAGCGTGGCGCGAGGCGGGGGTGGCTGCTGCCTGCCGCGCGGCTGGCGCGCAGCGCTACACCATCACGATAGACATATTCGCCACCATTATATTTTGAATCCGTTTTCGCGTGTAAACGCGCGGTTTGTCACTCGCTCGTCCGGCGGCCTCCTCGTACTCCGCCGTCGGGCCGGCTCGTGTGGGGATGCTTCCGTGGGAAGCGCTAAAAGAAAGGGCCACGTCGGTGGTGCGGGGGACGGGGCTCGCATGACTCTGCCGAGCACGCCGCGGCCCGGCATGGGGCCCTCTGTGATTGGCTGGCCGGCCCCACGTGGCCGAGTCACGCCACCGGGCTGGGCCCATGGCCTGGGCTCGCGCGCTCACGACGCCCTGTTCGTCGTCATCACTTTCTTGTGTCGCTGGCGTCACCGGAGACAGCGTGGTGGGTGTGGCGGCGGCCCCAGGGTGTCGCCTTACCCCGGTGAGGCGGTGTCTGGTCCCGCTGCCAGTGCGTTGCTCCAGGCTCGTCTGCTGCTCCCCCCCAGCACCAGCGCTCGTGGACTGACTCGGCGCGGCTATTCTCGGCCGCGCCAGGTCTCCGGGCGCGGGGGGAAGGGGGGGGGGAGCGACCTGGGCCGAGCTGGACCGAGGTGGTCAGGGTCGGGAGGCGTTGAATGGACTGGTGCCGCGGCCGCCGCGCAGGCTCCCCGTGGACGGCGACCTGCGTGCGGGCTGAGGGCGGTCGTTGGCACCACGTCCTTGCTTGGCTTGGCACGCTGCGCGGGGCTGGCCCTAACATCTGCACTATGCGGCGAATTCGGAGCTTGTGACCCAAAGATATGGTACATCAGACCGGCTCAACGGCCAGGGGGGAGGTCATGTGGCGGCGAGGCACAACATTCAACATTTTGGCGGGGCGTCTGACGGGCTTTGACACGCTACTAGAAAAACAGGAGCAGCTAGTACTTTTGGGTATGGTGCAGGGTGCAACTGACTTAGAGCCTAATACAAAGCCACGAAAGTGCGTTCGAAGTTGCCCGAAGTTTAGCACCTTGGCCAGGTTTGGCCATGCACTCCGTCCGTAGAGGCACTAGACCATGCGCGCCTTCTGCTGTCCCCGTGCTGTCGCCCGGTTGTCTGTCTCGCTCTGGTTGGGGTGCGCGCGGACCACCCGGAAGTCCACCCCGCGCAGTCGGTTAATGGGTCGCGGCGTCTAGACGGGACGCTCGTCGACGCGACGCCGCCGTCCACGACGGCAGGGGGTCGGCGGCGGCGCCTCTCGGAGTCCGTTGAGACGGCGCGATAAGGTTCTGTCGATCGGCATCGTCATGAGTCCAGGAGGAGGAGGAGGAGGAGGAAGAGGAGGGGGCGGCTGTCTACCTCCGTATCACGCCCCATTCATGGGGCACTCTTGTGCTGCCGGCGCCCGGACGGTCACGTGTCTGACTGTGCATGATGACACATGGCGCGAGGCGGCACTGCAACGTCCTGGCATTTGTTTTGTCTAATCTTTTAGAAGGAAAGCGGTGGTGTGATGCTCGGTGCGTCAGACCGTTGGAAGGGGCCGCTCTGCTCCTGCGTAGGTCGTGGTTTTATCCTTCGCACCGCTGATACCGTAATCACTCCATTTCGCAGATGGTCTGTTGTTATTTTTTTCCTCGAATTACTTAGAGAGGGGAAAGAGGCACTCCTTGTTCATGGCAGGACATGCTTCCTATTTTAATCTCTGCGGCGCGGGAGTCGAGTGTCGTGTGTCTGAGTCTCTATTAGCTGCGATAATCTGATAACGCAGCCAATCGCAGGCCGCGTGGCGTGGTGCGTCGTCGTGACGCGACTTTCTTTTTTTCCCTGCGCTCTGTCGGCTGTCTGTAGTGCTAACTGCGGCCGCTACTTCGTGTTGGTGTTATCATCGCCCGTTGGGTGCGCTATACGCTATGGGCCGAGTCGCATGATTGATTTTTCGCCATAAGAGGCGCGGATGAGGGGATTGGCGGAGGGGGAGGGGGGGTGTATCACGCCACTCAATGGCGTAGGAAGTCGCGTTGTTTTGATTGCGCATCGCTGACACCTTACCGTTGCGGGTAATTGTTCTTTATTTATTTTTTATTTTTCTAAAGCTGTTTTTTTAGGTGTTGCATTTGCCGTGTGTAATATGCGCGAGGGGAAACCGTTCAACTATGACGGTGACGTGGGAGAGACCATACGCTCTGTATTCGCGCCTTACCCTTTGTTTTTGTCTTTTTCGCAGGCATAGCGGGCTTGTTTGTGGCCTTCTTGTTCTGCCTGGCGGGCACCACTGTCATGTGGTGCACGTCCCTCTTCCAAGACCTGGTGACGGGGGTGAGTATCCCACATTACAAACTGGTTATTTTCTAAATCGTGCGATACGCCTATCTCACACCTCCATCCTGAACGCGATGAGTTCTGTTTTAACACATTGTTTTCTCACGTGACCCTCGTCCAGACGATGGTCATATCCAACTCGTCCAACACCTGGGACTGGTGGCGGGCGCCGCCGGTCAGCCCGCTGCTCATGGTCTACATCTTCAACTACACCAACGCGGACACGTTCGGCCAGGACGGGCAGAAGCTGCGCGTCAAGGAAGTGGGGCCCTTCACGTACAGGTGCGTGGTGTTCAGGGTCCGGTCAAGGCCTGGCAGCCGCTAGGGTCCGTTGGGTTAACGCTCTCCTCGGGGGGCAGATGGGTCGTCCGACGCGTGGCCGCCTCGCCCCGCCCCGCCCCGCCCCGTTCCCACGAGCAAGGCCGGCGCCGCGCTGCGCTGCGCTTGTGATGCGCAGTGACAGTGACCCGTGGCGACGACATGACCACCGCCCTGGTCTGGTTACCCCGGCCTTGCCTTTGCACACTCCAAAGGAATGATCGGCTGACCGCTCATCCGATATGCCGGCTGGATGTCCGAGATTTTCATTATTTATTATTTTGTACAGTAATGTGGGCCAATGCCAATTTGGCCTAACTTCATCAACCGATCTTACCAATTTAAATTCTGTATCCGGTGCCTTACTTGGATCGATGTGCTGCACTGTCCGAAAAAAGCGCGGCACGTATATACTGTTCAAGGCCTTGCCTGATTGATAAAGTAAGGTACAATATTTCAAGGTACTAAGCACAGTCTTATGGGCTCTACAGTAGAAAAGTACGATCATGTACCTCACCCCCACGGAATTACCTTCCATTTGGTGCAGGCGCGGATTGAGAGGGGGGGGGGCACATCCCCCGTCGTCTCTAGAGAGCCGCCTGAAAGATAGGCAATTTACCCCCAAAACCCCTGTATGTAGGCAACCAACCTGTCAGCCGGACCTTAATCCGCCCCTGATTTATGGTGTAGTTGGAAAATTTGGGTGCAATAACATCTTTGACAGTGTGCCTTGTCGCAAGTGCTTCGTATCAGTCGCATAACACTTTCTTTGCCTCTACAGGGAGACGACGGAGAAGGTGGACTTCAAGTTCTACGACAACGCCACGCTCTCCTACCACGAGAAGAAGACGTATGAATTCCTCCCCGAGATGTCGGCCTACCCCGAGAGCGCCAAGGTGTACGTCCCCAACATCCCCTTTCTGGTGAGTTGAGTTCGGTTGCACCCGGGCGATCCGCGCCTTCCCGTCTAGTGCGACCCCCGCCCCCCCCCCCCTCTCCTGCGCAGGGTCATTTTACGATCAACTTATCTCCTTGTTTGCGTAATATGGCGTGGTTTTCAAGCCTCTTTCGGCTTTCCCCGGGCGGCGCGCGGCCCGGCGGGCGCGCCGGCTAACGCCCCAGATGCATAGTCATTTGCGCGGGTGTGGGTGCGCGCGCGGGTTAAACTAAGCTCTGTCCAGGCGGTTGGAACAATGTCGAACGAGCATACTTGGCATCGAAAACAAGTCATGATTTTTGTCATGACCTTCTTCGGGTAACAACTGCACACAACAATTATCTACCGTTCAACCATACGCGTCTGGAACACACAAATAAAAATGGAGGCGTGCAATGTGCCTGAGCCTGACGTTTGCCCGTCGGTGTTCGCAGAGCGCCGTGGCTGCGGCTCGCGACCGAAACTTCATCGAGCGCTGGGGCATGAACATGATGCTGCACAGCTTCGACTCGAAGCCCATCCTCCACATCAACGTGCGCGACCTGCTGTTCGGCTACGAGGACCGCATCTTCAACGTGGCCAAGTTGACGGCCATCAACGGCCAAATACCCTTCCAAAAGTTTGGGCTCATGGTGCCGGTGAGTGTTTTTGGTGTTTTTGCGCAGGTTTTACGGGAAAAGATGGGCTAGTTAAATCTGACCCCCATGGAAAAAGTCCAGTGTTTTGACTTTTGACCGTTGGCTTTGCAGAAAGTGGGCGTGTCTGAGCACGAGATCACGATGCACACGGGCGCCGGCGACATGAGCCGGCTGGGCCAGATCGTCAACTTCAACGGCTACGACAACCAGGGCGTGTGGCGGTCCGACGAGTGCAACGCCATCCAGGGCAGCGACGGCTCGCAGTTCCCGCCGCCCTCTGTGTCGCCAGAGGCGCGCCTCTGGGTCTACAACCGCGACATGTGCCGCCGCCTGCCGCTCGTCTTCAACGAGTACACCGAGGCGCAGGGCATGCCCGCCTACCGCTTCGGCATGCCGGCCAACGTGTTCGACAACCCGCGCGACAACCCCGACAACGCCTGCTTCTGTCACGAGGACGACCCCAGCCTCTGCCTGCCCAGCGGCGTCTTCAACGCGTCCGCCTGCAACCTGAGTGAGTATACCTGCGAGGAACCTGCGGCTGGAGCGTGTGTGGCCACTGATCGAGTTTATGTCCACCAAAATCCGTCACGTGTGCCAGAGTTGGGCTTTACCGGGTGACTCAGAGAGGACGCAGGTGCAGGCGCAGGTGCGCACTACAACGGCCACGGGAAGAGCGAGTTGGCAAAGCCGCTCGGCCCTGCGTCTTCTTTGAATGAATCGCCCGGCACTAGTCTGCCTGTCGTCCTTGAGACATATGGCGCCTTATACGGCCCGAGCGAGTAGGCAACCCACATGTCCATGTGGAAGTGTCACTTCAGAAGTGAGCGGCTGTCGAATCAGCCACCTCGCACTTGGGTACAAGAGTAGGCTAGATAATCTATTTGGACTGTTTTTCCACAAACGACAAACCCTTTCCTCTCCCCGCTACTTGTGTGGAGTCACACTTGACTTTGACTTTTTTCGGGCCTTGCTCGCCACGGTCTTATCCTGCTCGCGCGTCACTCGTCTGTCCCGGGGCGGCGCCGGGCGGCGCTCCACCTCGGGCCCGGCTGATGTCTCTTTCGAGGCGCGGACGGGTGTTTTCAAATTCGCCAGGAATTGCAATTATATGCAGATTGGCGGTGTCTGCGGGGCGCGCGGTGCGGTCTGCATCGCGTTGACGCATGTCCTTCGCCGGGTGGGTCTTGTCGGTCTTGTCCAAAGGCGCCGCCCGCAGAGGGTTCGCCAGACCGCGATTGCTCCTTTTTTGCGAGGGTGACATGCCAATCGGTTCGGCTATCTCCGCGGCGGCGGCGGCGCCGCGGCTGGGTCGGGTCCCCCTTGATAAGGGCCAAAGGGTGCATCGTGCCCGTCGCGCTGGTTGCCTTTCTGAAGTGACCCAGGAATAACCTCATTTTTTTTGTAAATTTCCTTTAACAAAAACTACCACGCACGTAACGTACTGTTCGTGCGGCCCTGAGAAGCGACGAGGAAGTTGGGGGGGGAGGAGGTCCCTTCTGATGGATACCGGGGGACCGTCTAAATACTCGGGTCGATCCCTTCCGGGTCCCAATTTGGGTTCGCACATAGCGGCCGATCCATAGGCCCCCGTGTGCAGATGTTCTGGCTAGATCTGTTTCTGATGGGCGTCGTGGGTTTTCGTTCGTTTACGTGTCGGCCAGCAAGAAAGAAGGCACGGGGGTTGCGGGGGCGGCGACCGCCACACCAGCCAATGTCAGACTCTCGCGAAGACAAGACACGACGCGACATAGGCGCGACCCGCGACACACACCCGCCGGGAACAGGGGACTAGGGGGCTGCTGAACCTGCGTCAGGGATCGCGGGGGAGGTTGGGTGCCGAGTTGTCGTTTGTCGTCCCCGCGGGGCGGGGCGGGGCGGGGCGGGGCGGGGCGGGGCGGTCAGAGACAATAGGAAGGGACTCAGCGTTCGCGGACGCAAGAGAGCTGATACCACCACGGGGTCGCGCGACCCGCGCCGAGTTCACGATGTTCCTCTCGGCAACCGGCCGGCCACAGAGACTCGCCTGCTCTGCTCTTCATTGTGGACCGTCTGCTCTGGTGTTGAATCCGACGTACTTTACCGTGACTCTAGACACTGGTGACCACCAACTCGACTGGGCCGAAGTAACCCCTGTTCCAATCTGTAGGATATATTCTTTTTAGCAGATTATACATTTGTAAAAACTGAAACGTTGAACATTTTTTTACCCCGTGCACCGGGTTTATCAGAGGCACAGTACCTGCATTTTTGGGCGCATTCTTGCCATTTGTTTAAAAAAATGCTTACTGCAAGAAGCCCAAAAGTAATGTATTAATTTTTAAATGTAGTAATTAGTCATTTTCAAAGGTATACCTGAGGTGTGGGCACGCAATGATTCTGGCCACACGATGAAGTTCGCATTCTGCATGGCATTCTGTTCCACGTCTCACCAGTGTTCTGTCTCTCTCCCACACAGACGCGCCCGTCGTGATGTCATTCCCGCACTTCCTGCACGGCGACCCCGCGCTGCTGCACAACGTGGAGGGCCTGAAGCCGCAGCCCGGCCAGCACGACATGTTCGTCGACATCCACCCGAAGCTGGGGCTGACCCTGGGCGGAGTGTCGCGCCTGCAGGTCAACGTGCAGGTGCGGCGGGCGGCGGGCGTCCTGGGCCAGACCATGAGCCACTTCAAGGACCTGAGCATTCTGCCCGTGGCCTGGTTCGAGCTGGTGAGTGTAACTGCGAAAGCTTGGGCGCTAGAGTCCTCTAGACCCAGTCGATGACTCTTTGGTACGCTGTGGCTTGTATGGGCGGCCACGGTCTTTAGCCTTCTCCTTGAGACCACTAATTAGAAACACGTGGATACCCCACGAAAGTTTCAGTCCTTCCTCAAATCCCTCTCTAGTGCCCCAATGGTGGCTATATGGACTTTGGACTGGCCGTCTCAGTTAACATTCAAGCCACAATGTCGCGCTAGTTTTCCATCGTGATACGCTGTGAGGTGACGTGCTGTGATTGTCTAACCCTGGCGCTCTCTTTTGCAGAAAGTGACGGAGTTCCCGCCGCCGCTGAAGAACCTCCTGTACCACGCCACGTTCACGGTGCACATCCTGGAGCTGCTCCTCATGTACGGCTTCCTGGCCGGCGGGATCGCGTCGGCGGCCGTGCTGTTCCGGCGGCTGTGCCTCCGGGAGCGCGGCACCCTGGACCTGTCGGCAGAGTCCCCCGACTCAGACTCGTCGTGAGGTGAAGTGTGTGAAGCGTGACGTTTAGAAAGCCTCTACAGTATTCACTCATCTCAGGACGCGTTTGCCTCCGCGAGGTCCCTGCCGCGAGGTCGCGATGCGGGGCTGGTTTTCCGATTCGCGACGGATCGCTGGCATCGTGGTTTTTAATGTTTCTCATTTTCTACTTGGGTAAGCGAAACCAAGAGAAATTTGAGCAATATGAACTGGGGCTGCTTGCTCGGGTGCGGGGCGCAGGGCGCTTGCGAAGGATCCGTTGAGGGGTCCAATTCAGTATTTGTTAAAGTCTGCCTGCGTGTGTGTGTGTGTGCTTGTGTGTGTGAGAGAGAATATGTGTACGTGTGAGAGAGCGCGCTCTTGCGTGCGACTTCTGTGAGCCATCGCCTTAAAACGTCCCAAGTAATAAAACATTCCATTGGACCCCTCGACCGAGTCGTCGAATAGCCGTTGACCGGCATTTTGTGGTGTTTTAACCCAATCTGATAGTTTGATAGGTGTTTGTGTTCTCTAATACTCAAGTGTCGTTTACTCAGTACCTCTAAGGAACGCCTGCTCAATGGGCTTAATAGCCCAGATGTCTCAAGCTGCCTGGCCTGGTCGACAGGCCTACGGGACCACCCTTAGCTTTAATTTAGGGTGCTCAGCACTCCCCTGTACAATATCTTAGTTCAAATAGATTTTTTTATACCTGGTTTTAAATCAAATTATTTAGGTACCTGTAGTTTTGTACAACATTGTTTTTCAACAAGTTACTATTAGAGAACGAATCCCTCCGATTGTGGATGATTGTTAACAGCCTTTAAATTGTTGACAATTTTGTTGCTCTATTTATCTTATTTATGATATAAAATGGCTGGATTTTGTCATACTATGCTATGTGAACTAATATCATGGTATTGTCGATGATATTGCCACTTCCTGCATTCTCTCTTAGACCCTGTTCATTGTTATGTTATTTTTAGTGTCAGATGTGTTTGTTGAAGCTGAGGTTGATGCCATATGTTCAATATTTATTTCGTCATTTGTTAAAAATAGTTGTTATTCATTATGGTTAAGTGATGCGGAGTAAGTGGTGGACTTTTGCCAAGCAATGTGGAATGACCACTGTCCATAAATAATACAGCCCTTTTGTTACAACCAGTTGTGATTGTCCTGCTCATTCTATTGTGTGTAACTATCTGTTCCATGTAATGCCCATTCCACGCACTAACTCGCTTGTATTGTTTATGAAAAGTCTAGTCTAGATCTTTGTTGTGAATATTTTGTGACTGTGTGGTCTGCGGAATAGCCTTATTTTTATGGAAATTATTTCTTCAAGACTGAATGTATATTTATTATCAGCTTGCACCTCGTTTTTGTGGTGATGTATACAAATGTCCAAATCTTATGAATTGTCTATTTCTGGCTATTGAAGCAGTCCTCAGTGATTTTGTATTGTGATACTGATGACGTATGTAAATATACAAACTGTTATTTATACAAAAAAAAAATGTATCTGATTCTGGTGCAGCCCCAACGAACTTTCCACAGCCACCTCATACGGCAGGTGTCCCTGCTGTACCGAAACTGCGTATGACTTTAGGGCGCTTCCGAAGGATATAATAACGGTCATTTTAGTGCATACAGCCCGCATATGTATCTTAGGGTACGAATATCACAAGGGTCCCATCGACTGGGCAATGGCCGTGGGACCTCATTATATTTGGATTCCCCCCTGTGCACAGTCACGCGGGTTGGGGCCAAGACAACCCGGTCGGTAGTCTGGGCCGTAGCCCACAAAGAGACTGAGCGAGCTTGCAGAATATTTTACCTCAGCCCGAAATGCGTCGCCTTGCATTTTTGCGCGGCCTGGGCTGGGCGGGGCGGGGCCGGCCGATGTCGCATAGTGTCTTGTTTCCTGCCCGGCGTAGCAACAAACGCTCACAGGAACCAAGGGGGCGTCTGTAAATGACTGCTTGCTGCCCGTCGATATGTGGGGCGGCTCAAACGTTGTGCCCTCACCCCCTTTTTTCACACATGCCCGGTGCCCTATGGGACAGTTTTCGGCTTGCGGAAGTTCTGTTGACAGTGCAGCTGCAGCGTTCCGATCGCCTGGCCTGGGCAGGCCAGTGGCCAACGGCCGCCTACATTAGGCGGTGTTAAGCAGGGGCAGACCCCCCACGGGCCCAGCGCGTGTGTACTGTCCGACTCACTACCTGCGGGTGGGGGACACGGACACGGCCGGACACGGCTCTACTCACAGCGCCCGCGACCAGCGCGTAGGCAACCCAACACACCGTCTGGTGTGGCGGGGGTCACCCTAGGGGCCACCCCACACAGATCGTCAGTCTAACTCTGTGTGTGTGTGCAAATGTGTGCACAAGTGTGCAAATTTCTCAATATTTCTACTACACTGTTAGAGAGACACACAGAAAAGAGTACAGAGAAAGTCAGGTCGATAACCCCTAAAACGTTCGTGGTTTTTCTGTGGTTGACTACAGATGAAAAACTTTTGGATTTTGTGTGGCATAGTACAACTCACCCCTTCCTTTCCGCCCACTAGTAGTACTAAACGCGTGGGGGTGCGCGTAGTCGCGGAGGCACTGAGGAGCGGCACCGGGACACTCACTACCGAACCGGACACTCCAGGTCAAGGGCGGCGGGGCAGGGCGGGGCGCTAATGATATACTGTAGAAAGAGAAACCGCCGCGGTGTGCTGTGGTCACTACAGACACTACACGCACTGGCTGGATTTGTGTCTTTTATTTTTGTACAAATTCACTGGAAAAACAAAGGTGCGAATCTGCGAATCCCTACCTTTAAAAGGCACTAACAAAGGTTAGTGCCTTTTCCAAAGGCACTAAATGTGACCTTTCACACCATTCGCTGGCTAGCTTCATGATATGAGTTCCATGCAAGTTTAGTGCCCTTGGAAGGGCACGAAACATTAGTGCCCCAGGAAAGGCACTTAACTGCGCCCTTGACTTTAGTGTCCCAAGAAAGGTGCTGTTTGTGCCTTTGTTTTTCCAGTGTTTCAGCACAATCTAATTTTGAACACATTTCTGCGTTAATTTGAACATATTTTTTGTTGAGCATTTATTTGTACGGAATCATGCAGTTTTGAGCCCAAATTTATCCGAAACGAAATTCAGGTTCAACTTAAAACGAACGTTTGCACAAAAACATACATACATTTAGTGATCGTCCAGAAAGTACGTCCGATTATTCTCACATTACGGGAGCACGGCGCCTGCGAGACTCAGGGTAGGCCTCCCCGCAGTACGCACATACACTGCAGGCAATATGTTGCCTATCTATCAGGCGCTCTGCGAGCATGCAAGTCTGGACCTAGCACTGGCAGGTTTGTGACGGTGAATGAAGGACGTACTTTCGGAATGATGCCTTTACTTGCAGAAAAACCACGGAGTTTTCCCGTGGTGTATTCGTACTAGAACCATGTTTTTTTACAGTGGGTTTTCCGTACCAGAACCCGGAAATTTATACGTTGGCAACAACTTTTGAACGTACACCTTCACGCTAAATAAATGCGAAACGGTGCGAAATAAAGACGAATCATAAGGCAAAAGAGTCATAAAATACCCCCGAATTACCACGAAATAGCCGCAAAGTATCCGAAACGCACGTGAAATACCGCGAAATAGGCAGTGGCCCGAAATAGCCTGTACACTACTTGGCGATTCAGGGAAGAATCATCTGGCACCTTGCTGACCGCCGAGCTGGCCGCTCTGCTATGCCATGCCATGTCTCGGCCGGTCTCCGCACTGCGTCGCGTGGCGCAGCGCCTCGGCGGGTAGGCAGCCCATCGTACGCCAGGGGCAGAGAGGCTGCCCGGCCCGAGCCCGCGGCGGTTGCTGTTGCTTTCCGCGTGGCGATTACGTTATTGATTTATTAAAAAAAGGATCTAAAGCGGGAAGCAGTAGTTATCAAGAACCTGTTTTATTCAGACACTAAAATGTCAAGGTTAAACTTATATTTGTCAAACACCTATATGACTTATGTGTCTGATCATCTTTCAGTTGTATTCATAGTGCAGGAGTTGGAATAGACACTCATCACAAAATATTTCAAGACGCCCGAGCCTCGGCTGGTTGTGCTGGTGGTGGTTCTCTAATAATCAGGAAACAGTATTGTGAAAATTTACAACAGTTAAAACAGTTGGTGTCCTACAGCAAAAAAACGTGCAACCACGTGTTTGACACCAAATTAAAAGGATGTGAGATTCTTCCGGTAGTTTACCAGCCGAGGCCGGTTAGTTGAGGGCCCACGCGGGAGCGCGTCGTTTGTACGACCCGCGTTTCTACGACCTGGCGATTTCGGACCGACCCAAAACCATTTGTCCGACCTACATTTTCTACGACCTC